CCCCCCCCCCTTTTTTTAAGTACTATCTTCGGTTTACTTGGTTTCTGTAAATCTTTGTTATTAGAGTTCTGATAAGGTTGATTCTGACAAATTGATTTCAACTCAATCAAGTTGTTTTCAGAGTTTCTATGGGAAGCTAAGACTTGGATCTGCCTATTTTGTCATCTTGCTGATGTCTCTAAGAGAATAGTGGAAGCCTTAGTCACATTGTAGTAAAAGCATTTGACTGCAAATAAAAAAGTCAAACTCATCAGATGTTCTGCAGAAGATGTGTCAGTCTGCTTCCTCAAAGATTCACAGATTTGGAAATCCTGTACAGTTCTCCTCTATCCTGCACGATCACTGAGTATGAACAGACTCTGAGGCAAGAGTTTTGCTTTGGATTTCAAGTAGTGCTTTTGTTCCTTTTCATTAGGCGCTACTGAGTCAATTCTAACTCAGAGCCACCACTTGTACAGCAGAGAGACACTTGCCAGTTCCTGCCTCATCTTCTAATCTCTCTTGTGATTAAGTCCACCATTGTAGTTGCTGCGTCAACACATCGCATTAAGGCTATTCTTCTTTTACTCTCCACCTTTCCAAACCTGGTAATACCTTTCCAAATGTAATAATATGCCTAAACCCTGTGAGAACAAGTCTCAGTCTTGCAAATGTCTGTAAATGTCACAAAGGCAAAAGTAACTTGTATCTAATTAAATTTGTAAAAAATCTTGAGCCAATCTGTTCGGTCCCTCTGACATCCCCTCACAGCTTCCAAGTCCAAGGTCAGCAGTGCGGTCACCGGGCACCTCCGCACGTGGTGGCCTCTGCCATCGCCTCGTCTCTCTTGGAAACCGTCTTGAGGTTCTTTACTATGCAATAGACATTCATGGTGGTGTAGTCTGCTGGCTTTGGGAAACGTGCCACTGCTTCGTCTTCCTGTTACACAGACAGCTGTTCTGATTTCTTTTCCATACATGCTGTGCCATTTTGATTTTTGTTTGGTTGGTTAAATAAATTTGCAACACTCAAACACTTGAGGTGATAGTTGTTAAAAGCGATATATACCAGTATTGAAACCAGTTTCATCTCAGCGATGTTATACCTGGACATTTTAGATGTTTATCAAGGTCTTTTATTGGGAAGAAAGTAAATGTATTAAATAAATGTGTGACATTAATGAGTAATATTTGCTCTGAACACTTTTTGAAAACTTAGTTGACAAAACTTTTGAAATCAACTGAAAAAAAAGCATGACTTTTGAAATCTCTGAATGCCTTGGAGCTCAGTATTATCATTCTTCATTGAATTTATTTCTTATTAAAATATGTAGGTTTTGAGACTTTTTTTCTGACAGTATTATGTAATTTTTTAGAGTGAGTAGGTGGAAGTGTCGCTTGTATGTCCCCGTCCCGCTGACATGTGTTTCGTCTCTTCTTTATTATCTTAGTAATCTCGTGCTGTGTATGTACCATAACCAACCTATTGCCTATGAGAAACATGTAAGATAATGTATTTACAGCCATTGTTACAAGTGTATAATGTATTTTTCTATCTTGTTTTATATGTATGTTATATAACATTAAAAAAATTTTTTTCTTGATTGAGAAAAGGATACAAAATGCAAAATCCACAATTTTGATAACTGAAAATTGCCAATTGTTTTGCAGTACTCTACCATATGCGTGTCTTGT